TGTGCGCCCGCGTGTGCCGGGCGCAGGAGCGAGCGGGACACGGGCAGCTGGCGCAACTGAGCAGCGTGGTCGTGCTGGCGGGGGACAACCGCTCCGGGGCCGCCTCCGGAGAGGCCGGTGAGGGCGCCGGGGTCTCGGACGCGCCCCCGACCCGGGCGCCCACGCCGGACTTCTGCCGGGGCTACTTCGATGTTATGGGCCAGTGGGACCCGCCGTTCAACTGCAGCTCGGGCGACTTCATCTTCTGCTGCGGGACTTGTGGCTTCCGGTTCTGCTGCACGTTTAAGAAGCGGCGACTGAACCAGAGCACCTGCACCAACTACGACACGCCGCTCTGGCTCAACACCGGCAAGCCCCCCGCGCGCAAGGACGACCCCCTGCACGACCCTACCAAGGACAAGACCAACCTGATCGTCTACATCATCTGTGGGGTGGTGGCCGTCATGGTGCTGGTGGGCATCTTCACCAAGCTGGGGCTGGAGAAAGCGCACCGGCCCCAAAGAGAGCACATGTCCAGGTGGGCTGCCTCCCCTTTGCCCTTCCCTCCAGGCTTCGCTCTCCCTTTTCTCCCCTCCCCACCTTCCCCCAGGCGATGGCGCACTCCCCCCCTCCCCTCCCCAAGCCTCTCTGCTGGGGGATGGCTCCCGGGAAGCCAACTTCGGCTTGGAGCGCTGAGAAGGGGCGCTGGGCTGCGCACAGGTGAGGTATGAGCGTGTGTGCCCGTGTGTCGGGGGTCTCTGTCCCCCTCGCCTTCTTTCTGTCCCCTGCCGCCGCCGACTGAATCGGACTTGAGACACACAGCCTGGAAGCCCGTGGCCCTTAAGTCTTGGATTTTGGGGAGGGAGTCCATGGCACCCCACGGATTCCAGACGCTAGCCTCTAGGTAAACAGGAGAGCCCGAAAGGGAAGGGGGGCGTGTGTGAGCCCGCGCGCGCGTGTGTGACGGAGGGAGGGCAGGAGTGAGTGCCGCCTGCAACTCGTACGACTCGCGAAAATGAGGCGAAGGAGGTGGAGAGAGGGGAGGGCGAGAACAAAAGCCTTGCTTGGAGCGGCCGCCTCGCTTTCCCAGAGCTCCGAGGCCCTCGGAATGGAGACCTCAGCTGCTCTCGTCCCTTTGCCCCGCTCGCCCCCTTCTCCCGCCGTCACCTCTCCCTGCCGAGCTGCGCCCCTTGCGCTGGCTGGCGCGGACTCCAGGGCCTCGAGCCCCCTCCCCGCGCGCCCTCACTCTCCGAGCACCCTGATTTGCCAACTTTCCCGTTTGCCTTATTCATTATGCAAGTCCCAGCACGGGCTAGTCGCAGCAGATGGGAGAAGGCATTTGGGGATTAATGGAGCTATTTGCCTTTTGCGTCTTTTTAAGTGTCTAAATGGAATCGCACAACTCAGTAAGGGCGGCCGGGGACGGGGGATGGGACCCGGCTGGATAAATAATTCTTCGGCGCCTCCCGCTACTCTACGCCGACCGTGGTCCTCGGGAGCACGGCCAGGCCTAGTGCTCGCTGGGAGCTAGAGGCCTGGGCGGGCTGTGTCCCGGGCTCGCCGGGCTGTGGGGCAGGTCTGTCGCACCTCAGCCCTGGGTGCGTTAGCCCCGAAAAGACAGGGACGGGGAGAGAGAGGGGTCCCCGGAAGTTGGTGGAGGCGTTTTAGATCCCGGTCATTTTCAGTGGGTGGGGTCTAGAGCCTAGAGTCCGACTTTATGCCTTTGCAGATGCGAAACTGGGCCTTAGGGAGGTGGAGTGACCTGCCCAAGAGCTAGCTAGAGGTCGGGCAGGGCCAGGGCTGTGACCAACCCTGAGCTCTTACCCGCCAATAGAACCTGGGAGTCCAGGCCCCTGGGCAGCAGCTTCTCTTTTAGCCACCCGCTTTTTAATCCTGGTTTTGTCGGGGTCCCTGGGTAAGGGTGCTGTACTTCAGTGGCTGGGCTGATGAGGCAGGAGTCCCAGCTAGTAATTATTACCTGCTTATTACTACTATCTTGGCTGTTAGGGTTTAATGGGCCACCGTGAAGACTGGCTTGGGAGGGGACGTGAGGGGGGAGAGAGGTTCTGACCCCACCAACACCCCAAAGGGATACTTCAGATATTTGGACCTGACCAACAGCCCTGCACACAATCCCTCCACTGGCTCCCCACTGCCCTCAGGATAGCATCCGCTCCCCAGCCAAGTAGAAAGGCAGATCCGCACCCTCCTTCCCCTGACCTCCCTCCCCTCACCTCTCTGAGCACTGGCCTCCCAGTTGCAAGGCGCAGCTCATCCCACCTCAGGACCTTTCTGCATGTCCTGTGCCCTCTGCCTGGTAGTCCCTCCCCCCAGTGCAAAGGTGTGTGTTGGAGCATGGCTTTTTCCCATTGTAGCCTCTGAATCATCCAGAATGATGGGGTGGACCAAAAGTCCCTGGAGAGCAGGAACCTTGTCCATCCTGGGCCTGCTGGGTCCCCAGCTTCCTGCAGAGGGCCTAGCATGCTATATATAGATACACAGTGTTAAAGGAGAATGCTACCTGGAAGAGTTGCTGTGGGTGGTCTGTAGCCTCAGTTTGACTGGCCAGTGGACATGAGTACTCCCACTTCTACCTTTCTTTCTCACCTGGCCCTGCCCCCAGCTGAGCTGTAGGCCTGGGATCTGAATGGCCAGGGCAGAGAACTGGGGGTGTGGGTTTGTTTTATTTCCAGATAGATGGGTGGGGAAGACTGTCCAAGTTTGTGCCCATGTATGTCAATATGTGTACACATGTGTTTGTATCTGTCATTCCATACATGTGGGTCTGTGTGCCCCCCAGACCAGGTCCTAGCCTGAACAAAGAGACCCTGATGAGAGGAGATCCAGCACCCAGCCTGTAGCTAACCCTGCCCTGGGACTCCTCTCTGGGCCTCATGCAGTCCAGATTGGCAGGAGTGTGAGTGGACCACCTAGGGAGGACCCACCCTGAGCTTGGGCCTTGGCCTTGGCAGGCGGGGACATGGTCTGGTGAACTGCAGGCAGAGCCAGCCTGAGCTGAATGGTGGACCTTTCTCCAGACAGGCCTTGAGAGGCCAAGCATTTTACCTCTCTGAGCCTGTCTCTCTCTCTCTCATGGAAATGAAGCAAGCAATTAACTCAGTTGGTTAGAGCACAGTCTTGTAACACTAAGGTCACAGGTTCAGATACCTGTACCAGTCAGCTGCCAAAATAAAAAAGAAAATAGAGCAAATAATCCCACCTGCCTCGTGGAGTATTGTGATTTTTTTATTGGGAGGATTTGAGGAAATAATCCTCAAGAGCTCAATAATTTTTTTTTTTGGCTGCTGGCAGATACACTGATCAAACCCTGGACATTGGTGTTACTAACTGAGCTAACCAGCCAGCTCCAGTTCTTTGGTCTTGAGTCCTCTTAGCTTCGAGTGCCCTTACTTAGCCTCCTGGCAAACTCCTACTTATCCTTCAAAACCCACCTCCAGTGCCCCCTTCTCCAAGAAGACTTTCCCTACCCCACCCTCTCCTTATTCCTCCAAGCCACGGAGCCCTCTAGAACACTCGATTCCTGTCCCTCCATTTGTCCCAGCCCTGAACCCGTAGCAACTGTGCACAGCTCTGTCCTCTCAGACTGGGGGCGCCTCAGAGGTGGGTTTGAAGGTTTTGGGGACAAGGGGGCCCTAAATCCATCAACCAGTCCCATGCAATGAACTAAGGATAACATTCACTCATTCCACATACATTGATTGAGCACCTAGTGTGAGCCAGGTGAGGGACACACGTGAGTGAGACAAACACTGACACCTTCACAGTGCTCAGTCTGAAAGGGAAAGAGGAGTCTCTTTTTCTTCCCATTTCTTTAAAAAACCAACACAAGAAAACACACACACGCACAACCAACGTTTGTTCCCGAGTAGAAACATAAATAGGGCAGAATCGAACACTCTGTTCTTCTCTCTTCCAAAGGCAAAAAAAAAGTAAAAGGAAAGGAAGGCAGGGCTCGAGGCGCGCTCCATCGGAGCCCCTTCCGCAGCGGTGTGTACAAGGGGCGGCCAGGATGCGCGTGTTTGTGCAACACGGGGTGGCCGCCCGTGGGAGACAAAGGCAGCGCAGGGGGGGGTCATGCGCTTGCCCCCCAGGAGCAGGGGGTCCAGCTTGTCGATTCCAGGGCGCCCCCTCTGTCCTGACAAGGGGCGGCCGCCCGTGGGAGACAAAGGCAGCGCAGGGGGGGTCATGCGCTCGCCCCCCAGGAGCAGGGGGTCCAGCTTGTCGATTCCAGGGCGCCCCCTCTGTCCTGACAAGGACAGCTTCAAGAATAAATGCATTCCCTCCATAGAAGGTAGAGGGGGGGATGTTTTAGAGTCCAGAAATCTGGGAAGGGTGCCCCAGGACGTAACACTGAATGAAAGAGAACCTGAGGGCTGGCCTGTTAGCTCACCTCGTTAGAGCATGGTGCTGGTAACACCAAGGTCAAGGGTTCCAACCCCCAGACTCCACAGCTGCCAAAAGAAAAGAAAAGAAGCTGAGCAAATCACCAAATAATGGGGGATCAGAGTGTCCTAGGCAGCAGGAACAGCCAGTGCAAAGGTCCTGGGGCAGTAACCAGCTAGACACATTGATGGAAGTTGGGGAGGCAGGTGGGACTGGATTGGGGGAGAAGGGTGGTGGGGCCTCTATCCGAGCCCAGGTGGGATTTGTCCTGAAGGCAGTGGAAGTCACAGATGGTTTTGGGGGAGGAGGCAGTAATAGGGTCCAGCCGTGACTCAACATTTTCCCTTTGTCCTCGCAGCAGCTCCACAAGTAGCGTGGGACCTTATCCCACTTCCAGAGCAATGTCTGGAGCGGGCAGGCAACCTGCCCAGGGTCATACAGCCCAGGCCCAGAGAAAACCCCGCCCTCCAAACAGAGTGAACCTGATGCCCCCCACTTTCTTGTTTAAAGCAACTTGCGACTTGGTTTGATTTTTAGTCTGTTTGAACACCCAGAAACCTACAATCAACTTGATAAAATGAAAAGCCCCTAAGAAAGAGAAAAAAGGAATTAAGGCAGCAGAAAGGGGTCAGGCAGAGGGCGTCTTGGGGGTGGGAAGCCTGCCGGGGATGGGCCCCCCGAGCGCTCACGACCTCGCGGCCTGGGGTGGGTCTGGTGGGGACCGTACCCGGGCGCCGAGGGCCGGCGGGCTGGTGGGGGTGGAGCTTGGAGGGACAGCCCCCGGTGGCAGGACTCCTAGGGGCGGCCGGGGGAGGGGCGCCGGCTGCGGGCTGGGGTCGAGTCTGGCCTCAGTGCATTCCTGAGGATCGGGTTACCGGAGAAGGAGGCGGCCTCGCCCTCCGCGCCCGCCCCGCTTCCGCCGCCTGGAGCAGGAGCCGCGATCGCGTCCCCTGTCCAGGGCAGGTGTTTGCCTTGCTTCGCGGAGGGGACCCATGCCCTGCCCGCTGGGCTGGCATCGGCTCCTTCTCGCCTCCTAAGACCACTTTATAGAAGAGGAAACAGGCGCGGTCAGGCCCCCGTCGGCACTGCTGGAACCAGATTGAACATGGCAGAGCCTGCTTTATGATCTACTGTTATGATATTACTGTTGACTAGTCCCGAGGCTGTGGTGTCCCCAGCCTCCGTAGGTCCAGAAGAGTGGCTCAGTTCAGTGTTTGTCGATCGACTGGCTGACCGTCCAGAGGCAGCCCCAAAGGGCTCTCCCCAGCACAAGGAGAACACAACTTCCCATACCACCCTCCTTTTCCCCCAGTACAGGCAGGACCCCTGCACTCATCCAGCATGCATTTAATGTACACTTGCTGTATACCCAGACCTGGGTTTGGTTCTTTCGCAGGCAGATGTTGGGGACTCGGAAGATTGGGGGTCAGAGGCTGATGAATTCCATTTCATTAGACCAACTTCAGAAGTTGGTTTTCTAGAGCCGGCCAGTGGCTCACTCGGGAGAGTGCGGTGCTGATAACACCAAGGCCATGGGTTCGGATCCTCTACAGGGATGGCCGGTTAGCTCACTGGCTGAGCGTGGAGCTGACAACACCAAGCCAAGAGTTGAGATCCCCTTACCGATCTTTTTTTTTTTTTAAAAGTTGGTTTTCTAGTCTTTCGGGTTTTTTTTTTTTTTTAAAAGTTGGTTTTCTAGTCTTTCGGGTTTTTTTTTTTTTTTAAAAGTTGGTTTTCTAGTCTTTCGGGTTTTTTTTTTTTTTTAAAAGTTGGTTTTCTAGTCTTTCGGGTTTTTTTTTTTTTTTAAAAGTTGGTTTTCTAGAGCCGGCCAGTGGCTCACTCGGGAGAGTGCGGTGCTGATAACACCAAGGCCATGGGTTCGGATCCTCTGTAGGGATGGCCGGTTAGCTCACTGGCTGAGCGTGGTGTTGACAACACCAAGCCAAGAGTTGAGATCCCCTTACCGATCTTTTTTTTTTTTTAAAAGTTGGTTTTCTAGTCTTTCGGTTTTTTTTTTTTTTTTTCTTTTTGACCAAACTCGTGTGCTGCTATTCATTCAATCACTATTGAGCGCCTACTGTGTGCCCGGCAAGGGGTTTTTCAGCCATGCAGCCACCCTGCCTTACCTCCTGGAGCTGATTGTTCTCATGGGGGACAGGAAACAACAGGCCACTTGAGATCAATGTCACTATTTTCTTTTAAGTCAACCCTTTTTGTTTTTACTTCAGTAAATGTATTTCAAAAGGGAACCTTCATGTCACCACCAAGAATGGAAAACCAGTTTCTCTTGCCATAAATAGAAGGAAACCAAAAAACGATGAAATGAGAGCAAAACCTAGGCATTTCTTCCTCAGGGACACTCCAGGCTGGGCCTGGACCTCGAATGTCCAAGTGGCACTAAAAGCAGGGAAGCCCCAAGCCAAGAAGGATGGGGAATGTGTACACAGAGGGGCAGGAGGGGCCACAGGGACCCATCCTGTACCATGGGTCCCAGCACACAGTAGGCACTCAATGAATGCTGACTTGTTGACATTGAATCCCAGAGTTGTGGGTGCTCCTGAGCATCTCCTACTACTAGGGTTTTGCCCCAGGCTGATTGACTGAAGAGGAGAGGGCAGGCAGCTGCCTCTTGGGAGGGGGGACCCATGGGGCCTCTCTGGATTAGATGAAACGGAAACTCCCACCTCCACCTCTAGGCTTTGGGGCTGTCCCCACCCACAGTCCTGTGGTCCTCTGACGTCGTTCCCCGCTGAAATGTGCGCCTCTGACGTCCAACCCTGTGGTTGTGTGAATCAATGAATGAGGGAATGAATGAATGAACGGAGTAGATAACGTAATGGATGAGTGAAGTAATGACTGGATGAGTGAATTAATGATGGAGCGGATGATGCATCCGTGCTTCCCATCCGAGATGGGAAACCCACTCTCTAGACATTTTTCTGTCCAATACCCACAGCAGCACTGGAAAGAGGGACGTCTGTCCCCATTTTTCAGATGGACAAACTAAGGCTCTAAGCAAAACATGGCTGCAATCTCTAGAGGGCAGATTTGAATCCACGTGGCCCTGCACACCGCGGGATGCAAGAGGATGAGGGGGCCGGAGCTCAGGGGTCCTGATTGCACCCCGTGCCTGCAGGGACTTATGGGCCGGCACTGGCTTGTCTTCCGGCCAGCCAGGATGTGGGCCACAGCTGGAGAGTAGATTGACGGGGAGGGAGGGCGGTGCAGGCAGCGGGGGTCGGGGGTGGCTGCCCCAGGTCGCGGGGGTGGGGAGGAGTAGGCAGAGTTCCGGTCGATTAAGAAGGGGCCACAAGTAAGGTTTTGGGGGGGCCCGGCACCTGGGGCACTTACACGCCGGCCCTACCGAATCAAGCGTAGGGACGAAGACGACCCCACTCCAGATCCAAGGCAGGTCTCCTGAGCTCCCACGCCAGCCCGCCTTCCTCTCTCTACTCCCGTCTCCCCCTTCCCGCCCACCC